AAAAAAGTAATCTGATTACGTAACTCGCATTACTTGTAATGAGTTACCCCCCAACACTGTAAACAACCATATTAAATGTTTTCATTTTAAAAATATTAATATGTGGTTCAGAAAACATGTCCATACTCTGAAAATCTTCACTGTATATTTGTTTATAATAATATAAAATATGCTATAAAACACAACCCTGACTCTTTTCATTTATATATGGTGCTGGTGGTTCCTCTTGGGATGAGGCAGGCACGGGGGTTTCCACCTTTGAATTGGCATGCACGGGTGCTTCCTCTGGGGACATGGTCGGAACAAATGCTTCCCCAGGGGATGAGGTATTCACTGGTGCACCTTTTGGAGTCTTGGTAGGCCCTGGTGGTCCCTTTGGGGGCCTTAGTGGCAAGGGTGTCAAGATGACATCTCTTGTTAGATAAAGCCTACTATTTTCAGGGATTTTCAGTTTTCCCTTCAGTCGGTGCCTGGTAGGCACAGGTGCTCCCTGCGAGGACCTGTCTGCCACGAGTGCTTCCTCAAAGGATGAGGTGGGCACAGGTGCTTCCTCTTGGGTCGAGGTGGGCACTGGTGCTTCCTCTTGGCCTGAGGTGGGTACTAGTGTTGCCTCTGGGAATGAGGCTGGCACAGGTGCTTCCTCTTGGGACGAGGTGGGCACAGGTCCTTCCTCTTGAGACAAGGTGGGCACAGGTGCTTCCTCTTGGGATGAGGTATGCACAGGCGTTTCCTCTGGGGACTTGGGGTGAACAGGTGCTTCCCAAGGGGATGAGGCAGGCACTGTTGCTTCTTTCAAAGTCTTCGCAGTAGTTGGGGCAAGGGTGTCAAGATGACATCCTTTGTTAAATAAAGCTTATTTATTTTAAATAAACAGGCTCTCCCTGTTGGTACTTAGGAGAAACAGGTACTCCTTGTGGGGCCTCCACTATTCCCCACCACTGGTCTGAAGTGAGGTCCCCGCACTCATTCTTCTTAGATGATGAGTACGATAGATCTTCCACCTCCATTACTGCCCACCACTGCCCTGCAAGGAGGGCCATGATGAGCTCATCAATGGGGCTGAAGTGCATGGTTGACATGCTCAGTATAGTGGACAAGTGTCTTTGCTGGTGGTAAGACAGATTATCCAGAAGAGATGCATAACTCTGAAATGCTATTTGTGTGTAACAATGAACTGTAAAACACTGTGAAGGAAAGAGAAGAGCTGTGTAAGCCCAGAAACTGGTTGCCTTAGTGTTTTAAAATTCAGATTTCTTTTCAATTTACTTATTAAAAGGGTCATAGGATGCCCATTTTCCAACAAGTTGATATGATTCTTTAGGGTCTTAATGAAAAGTCTGTAACATAGTTTGGTTAAAATTTCTCAATGGTAGTGTAAAAAACCTTTTTTTACCCTGTCAAAAACAGCTCTTTTCAGATCAAGCCGTTTTTGTAGCATTTTCCCTTCAGAAACAAATGTAATCCACTGCGAGTTCAGCGGCTCAGATGTCGGGAGTAAATGACGACTGCTATGTTCATTATTACATCCAACAATAGAACACCTCAATCGCTTAGGAGTCATTCTTCACTGTAAAAAAAATTCAGTGAAATTTATTGTAAAAAAACGGCAGCTGTGGTTGCCGGAATTTTACCATAAAAAATATACTGGGTGGATTTTATTTAATCCCTAAAAATGATATCCCCTTTTTCAAATCAGGCGTCACATGGACGAAGGCCGCTCCCACGATAGTTGATTGACACTTTATAACTGATATAAATTGGAAAAAAAGCTTGTCTTTTGCCCAGTAAATTTTGTATATTTAACAAGGTTAAGGAAGTCCATTATAAAATCCTTCACAAAATCTATCCCGTTAACTCTTCCATTACTAAATATTCTGACATTGATGAGAATTATTCATTTGTGGTCTTATAGAAGAAACAGCTGCCCATTTATTTTTTGATTGTAGCATTACTAACAAATTTTGGGTTGATTGAAGTTTTTATATTTTTGGCACTATGAATGAGGTGTACCATTTTGCCTTCAAAGATATTATTTGTTATTATGAAAACCCAAAACACGTTTCTTTTGAATATGTTGTTAATTTCTTTATTTTGTATGCAAAATTCTTTATCCATAAGCAAAAATTGTGCAAGTCCTTTTTGTGTCTTACACTTTTCCTTGCTGAATTCAACTCTGTAATTTAATCTCTTAGACTGATAAATAACAAAAAAAGTGAATTTTTTTTATTTTTTATGATGATGTGTTTAAAGACACGTTAACTTTATTATGATGCTTTTCTCTTCATGTGAGCTTAAACCCAGGTTTATCAAAGATTTTCCCTGATGTTTGTATTATATGTTTTCTGAAAAAAAAAAGAAAAAAAAAAGATTGTTGATTGACACGGCCTTCTTACCTTAGACCCGCCCTGAGTGAGCTGTAACAGTCCGACTGCCATTGTTTCGACGCTGGAGCAGGAGTAGACAAGAATGGCTCCTGAGCGATTGAGGGGTTTTGTTGTTAGATGTAATAATGAACATAACAATCGTCATTTACTCCCGACATCTGAGCAAGTAATCCAACAAAAGTGGATTACTTTTGTTTGTGAAGGGAATGCTCCCCCGACCTACCTAAATGTGTTTATGTTCGTGCGAATCATTCGTGATCCAGCTTCACTTACAGCAGAAGTGAGTATAAGGTTTATTTTTTATGAATCTTTGCAATAGCTGTTCCTAATAACATGCTAGTTAGCTAGTTTTGCGGCTAAATGCAGCCAAAGTAAGAGGGGCGGGTTCAGCAGAGCTCATTAGCATTTAAAGCAACATGCAAAAAACGGGTTGATTTCTGCAGAGCTGTTTTTGACAAGGTAAAAAGGGTGTTTTTTTTACACTACCATTGAGAAATGTTAACCAAAGTATGGTATACTCTTTTGTAGACTATATGTTATAGTCACTTAAATATGAATTGTTAACAGTATTTGTAGGAAGTATTGCAGGGTCACACGTTTCTTGCTAAATCAGTATCAATATTAAGAAAATATCATCTCTCTACAGCAGTTATACTGTAAGTTATGCTCAGAGTAGGCTTAATGCAGACTGTAGAGTATCATTGTAAAGAGGTCTTTACCAACAGTTATTTATTCTCTGATATAGTGTATGATGGCTTTACAATAATCAGCATTTACTAATAATTAACTATTTATTAACGGTCCCATTATCTCTAATAAACTGTGGAGATCTGTTTAGATTCATGTAATGAGTGGTCTGATTCTCTTGCTAATGTTCAGGCATTTTATTTGTGGTTAATTATGTTTTTTTGGGAAATGTGCCTAGCCAATTTATGTGCGACTAACACTCTTTATAGGATTTTGGCATGAGTATAGTAGTTCAGCTTGGAGAATGTTTAAGCATCAAAGAAAAGGGAAAAAAAACCCTGATTATTCTTGGATCAGTATATCATAAATAGATACCTTTATAAGGAGCAACAATGACCTGTTTTTTTAAGGGTCCCTAAAGATCATTCCAACTGTTTGTTTCAGACAGTCGCCTTCACTTTCTGACAGGAATAATGCATCTAAAATGCTATCAACACAGCATGTACTGCTCTAATCACAGATCAACACATTCAAGCATTGATCTCCCTTTATAAAAGTGAAGTATTTCAAGTTGAATATCTTGATTGTCCTGCCTAAGTGTCTTTGTGTGCATGAAAAGTAAATAAACGCATGCAAGACGAACACCCATTTTAGAGAATAATTTATTGCCAGTAGTAAAGCAGTTAAGCTAGTGGCAGTATTTAATAAAAATCATGAAACAAGACCATAGCATTGCTCACACAAACGCAGACCCTGAAAAAGTCACATGTCTGTGAATAATCTCGCACTATAAATATATTGGGTCCCATTTTCATGGTCAAAAAATAAAGATGTTCCAAAGTCACAATTTACAAAGAACAACAAAAAAAAACATAACACATCACAAGAATATGCAGACATCCTTTCAGAAATGAACATGTGTTGTAAAGATCACACATTCAAATCCTTGACATTTTTTTTATGTATTTTTAAAAATTATTTTCTTTGCTTGTGAATGGACATACAGTAAGGCTGATACACACCATTTGAGTTGGTAAACTACTTTTTCCTGTCTTTCTTTTTTGAAAAAAAAGCAAAAAATATCTACAAAAACCTAGTAAAACCTTGAAATCAAAACTGTACATTAAAATTTACATTACAAATGAATGAGGATTTGTATAAAAAATCAGTTTGATTTTGAAACTTGATGCTTGAAATGATGCTTGTCTCCCATTATCCATGACAATATATCAGTTATATTTTCTGTGTAAATTGTATATCTCAGCATGATCTTGTGCATGATGATCAACATATTATTTAATGGCACAGCCAAGTCTAATGTTCTCCCCAATACTGTTAAATAATAATAATAATATTAATAACTGCCCACAAGAGCTACTGGAGAGAACTCGTGTTTAAGCACGTCTTTTCAAAACCTCTTTTGGAGTGAGGTACAGATGTATACAATGTGTGCGTTTGGATGTTTGGCATTTACGTTAAGTGTAAGACTACGTTTGTGTACCGTGTATGTGGTGTGGTTATGGTTTGAACACACAGTCAGTCTCCTGTAGCAGGGTTTCATTTAGGCACTTTTGATATTCTGGATCCAGTGTCAGACTTCAGTATGCTGCTGCTGTTGAGAGTCCAGCGGCGGTATGATGAGCCTCTGAAACTGCGCTCCCTCCTCCTCTCCGCCGCTCTCATAATCGCTCATCATCACTTCTGACTCCTCGCAGCAGGCGGACATGTCCGAGCAGGACGCCGTGGACGTGTACAGCGAGAGCGACATGTTATCGGCAGCGGGGGGATCGAAGTCGCGGCCATAGCCCAGCGGGAAGCCTCCGTGCCGGTATCCTCCGGTGGAGGATGATGTGATGGTGCTGGTGGGGTTGGTCTGGGGTTCGGGGTCTGACGAGTAATGGTGGTGGGGTAGGAATTGGGTGAGGCTGTAGAGTTGGGGTAAGGGCGGTCGCTGGCGTACTCCAGATCCTCCGGGACTAGAGGGGGCGCTGTTTAACGCTCGCGTGGTGGGCTGCAATGTGCCGTAGCGATCCCCGTACTCCGGCACGGGTGGAGGAGGGGGCAAGTCGTCGTGGGAAGTAAAGGCATCGGGTGGAGGAGGGAAGTCGCTTTCAATGTCGTATCCGCCGGTATAGTAGTCCGTGTCCAACAGGGTGGGGTCACTGTAAATGGTGGGTGGGGCCTCCACTACCTCATACTGAGGAAATTCCTGGATTCCAGGAAGTTGAACACTCGGCATCCAGTCAGATGTGTCCCAATGATAGCCTGTCGGACAAAAATAATAGTAAGCAACACAGTGACAGGCCATAATACAAAAAACAAAAACAACAACAACAAAAAGATTAGATTAGGTTTTACACAAATAAGAAGGGCTGGGGTCAATATCAATTCAACTTCAGAGAGGTCAATTTTAGTTTTGAAAAAACTAAACAAAAAAGGCATTCATAACCCATTTTACTTAACATTAATGTAGTATAGAAATTAGAAGTTGAGCAGGAAATTATTGAAATAATGTCAGCCATAATCCTTTCTTATAACGCTTCTGTCGTTATTTGCTATAATTGACATAACTTTTATTACACTAATGTTAACTAACATTATGAAGATTTTTTTTATAATAACATGCACTATTGACAATAAAATAAAAAAAAGAATAAAATTAAAATGCATTATTATCAATAATTGAATTCAATAAAAATGAAAATATTTTTTTTTGCAAGCTGGGATAATGTGCAGGATTTCCTTGTTTCTATATTAAATAATAATAATAATAGTAATAACTTAATATAACAAATACACTATAATGTTAATGTCGACTTGAAATTGACCTAAAATTAACAGAAAATCTTTCAATGCAAATGTTTTTTGTCAAATGTTAATTTGTGTTTTGTTAAAATGTTAAAAATGTTTTCTGTGCACTAACTGAAGTTGAACTGACTTCAACCCTTCATAAACCAAACAGTTAATACCAGCCAGGTCATTTAAAACCAGCATGCAATGTCAGTATCACACCAAAACAATGCAGATCATTCAGAGTGCACACAAATACACACATCACACATGTACAGTAACTCAGAATATGTCTATTGTTTGTAGATTTACAAAACAACCATGACAAAATATGACAATTAGTCAATACTTTCAAAGATTAATTTGTAAACATTATATTATTAGGGAGGATGTTTTAAGGTTACTATTATAGAGCAGTTTGAGGGAATTTCAGGGAGACAATACCATGTTTAACTGGGAAAACAAAAAACTTTTTGTGATGAAAAGCTGTGACAAAAATGGCACAATATCCAATTATTTCTAACGCTACCAAAAGAAGTGAGTTTATTTCAGACTATTTTTGTCACAGATTTTGTGGACATGCAGAGTTTTGTTATATTGAAGGGGGTACCCAAGCCAAAATGAAATCAAATGGAAAGGCATCAGGCAAACTGTACAAAATAAAAATAAATCACCTCTTGGGTTCTTGTGTTCATGAGCCGAGAATGACTCTTTAGATAAAAAGCAAACAGAATTGCATAGAAAAGAGAGAAAGAGAAAATGTCAAATAATAGGAGACCGAAGAACACTCTGGAAAAAAAAGAGTGCAGTACAAGGTGGATACAAATGTAAGAGCCATGAAGTTATGAGACGATCTTCATGCCATTTGCTTGCACAGAAACATTTCATATCACAGTATGGTGGGAAGGTGAAATCAGCCTTGGAAAGACTGCAATTTTCCATCTCAAATGAGCTGAACAATCATGTGCCACTGAAATCAAATGAGGCACTTGATTGGCTAATGATGCATTTGATAGAAGATGTGATCGGTCATTTTTAATTTCTTTTGTCTTTCTAGATGTGATATGGGTGAAGAAAATGGCATTTTGGATACTTAAAGTTGGTTAGTTCACCCCAAAATTAAAATTAGGCTGCGTTTTACTCACCCCCGAGGCATCCTAGGTGTATATGACTTTCTTCTTTAATCCAGTCGGAGTTATATTAAAAATTGTCTTTGATCTTTCAAGCTCTTTCGTTGCACTCAGCGGGTGTTGCATTGCTTCTGTCCAAAAGACGTTAAATAAAAAGCACCTTTCCATAAAAAAAGTGTCTCACACGGCTCCAGGGGGTGAACGAAGGCCTCCTGACGTAATAATCGTAATAAACGTAATAATCACTTGAATCTAGCTTGCGCTCACTGTTGTAAAATGGATTATGCATTGAGAATTTCACAGGGCCTTTAATGATCGCTTCCTTCCACCGTGGGCGAGTGTTCACTTACGAGCAGGCCTCTATTTAAAACCTTGCTCTGTGTCTGTGGTGAGATTTGATCCAAATGGGCGCTGAAGCCCCAGTGCAGCGATAAGGAAGAGAGAGAGAAACGACATAACACATGACCCAAAAACATAACACCCTTTACACTCGGTTACATCAGTAAAATAAAGACAGAGTTAGCAGATGTTCAGAAAAAAAACCCTATGAAAACATGATAAACTATCTGTCAACTGAAAAAGAGCATGCAAGACATTTCGACTATGTTTGGAATAGAATACTAGTACTGTTTCACTTTCAGACACTCATCTACATCACTGAGGCACCTAAACTCACACACACATAAACTGTACAGTAAATGCACAGCTGCAGACTCAACCTACACTATCATTCAAAAGTTTTTTGACATGTTTTTGAAAGAAGTCTCTTATACTTGCCAAGGTTGCATTTACTTGACCAAAAATAGAGTAGAAACAGTGGTATTATGAAATATGACCATTTTAAATAACTGTTTTCCTTTTGAATATATTTTAAGATGTAATTTATTTAATGTATTGCAAAACTTTCAGCAGCCCACGACACCTCAGAAATCATTCTAACATCCTGATTTGGCGCTCAAGAAACTTTTTTTTTTTTACATTTTTTTATAATTATCAATGTTGAAAACATTGCTGCCTAATATTTTTGAGGAAACTGTCATTCATTTTTTTCAGAATTTCTCAATGAATAGAAAGTTCAAAAGAACAGCATTTATTTGAAATGGAACTCTTTTATAAATGTCAGTATAATTACTGACACTATGAAGCAATTTAATGCATCACTGCTGAATAGAAATATTAATTTCTTTCATTTAAAAAATTCTCATCTAGGTACATCTCAGTCGAAGTAGCATCTCATAAAGAAGCTCTTCATGATGCCCATTTGATATATTTAATTGAGTTTCACAGGTTTATTAGATGGGTCAAAAAGATGTACCTGTCTCCTTGGAAACTTCAGACACTCATCTACATCACTGAGGCACCTAAACTCACACACACATAAACTGTACAGTAAATGCACAGCTGCAGACTCAACCTACACTATCATTCAAAAGTTTTTTGACATGTTTTTGAAAGAAGTCTCTTATGCTTGCCAAGGTTGCATTTACTTGACCAAAAATAGAGTAGAAACAGTAATATTATGAAATATGACCATTTTAAATAACTGTTTTCCTTTTGAATATATTTTAAGATGTAATTTATTTAATGTATTGCAGAAGTTTCAGCAGCCCACGACACCTCATAAATCATTCTAACATCCTGATTTGGCGCTCAAGAAACTTTTACATTACATTACATTACTTACATTTTTTTTATAATTATCAATGTTGAAAACATTGCTGCCTAATATTTTTGAGGAAACTGTCATTCATTTTTTTCAGAATTTCTCAATGAATAGAAAGTTCAAAAGAACAGCATTTATTTGAAATGGAACTCTTTTATAAATGTCAGTATAATTACTGACACTATGAATCAATTTAATGCATCACTGCTGAATAGAAATATTAATTTCTTTCATTTAAAAAATTCTCATCTAGGTACATCTCAGTCGAAGTAGCATCTCATAAAGAAGCTCTTCATGATGCCCATTTGATATATTTAATTGAGTTTCACAGGTTTATTAGATGGGTCAAAAAGATGTACCTGTCTCCTTGGAAACCTTGTTCACACTCACACACGGGACCATCCAGGCTATCAATGCACTTGCCGCTGTTCTTACACGGGTTGTCTGTGCAGTATGGACCCAGCTGACACCTGATAGAAAATTACAAAGAGCCAAAATGTCATTCAGAAACTTCACAAACACACAACTTTAGATAAACTTTAAATAAGAAAAACTTTGTTTGGATAGTTTTTAATTGCAGTAGAAATTTCTCAAAGAGAAAATTGATTCTGTCTTACTGAATTAAATTTGATTATCAATCACATCACCTCCCAAAGCTTCTGATTAAATTTCCAATTTAATAGGAATTACTGAGAAAGCCGCATGGATTTCTGAAGTATTTTTCTTTAGTTTGAGTCAGATCATGCATATTAATGAAGTTTAATTAATGAAAATATTGACAGAGCTTACATTCTGATTTGGCTAAATATCTGGACTATACTCAATGACATTAAAATGGAGAAAGAACAAATTAAATTAAATAAACTTAAAAAAATGTTCAGACAAACAGAGGAACAGGATGTAATGCTATGGGGTCAAAGAAAAAAAATCTATTTAATTAAAAGTATTTGGAACAAATGAGTCATTTAACATTTAAAATGAAAATGAATGAAAAGTAGACACATTTATCTGCTAACAGAGTCAGCAAAAAAGAAAGATAGCACAATCACATGTTTAGAGCAAACTATTTTTCTAAATTTAAAGCAATCTGAACACTATACAGGTTGCTCAACTGTCCGAATAATTTCTGTGGTCACATGCGCATGTGTTCTCACCGTTGCCCAGAGTACTGTCCTCTGCACTGGCAGTAGAAGTCTCCTCCTCTTGGGATACATGTGCCTCCATAGAGGCAGGGGTTAGAGGCACAGGGGCTGATCGTGACTTCACAGTGAGTGCCCATGAACGCAGCGGTGCACTTACAGAAATACCCTACAACACACAATAAAGCACAGCACATTAGCCAGTCCTATATTTGAATGAACTACAATTACAAAAATTCAGAAAAAACACCATGCATACCTCCATTAGGCAGTGATGAACATGTGCCTCCATTAGTGCAGGGGTTACTGGAGCAGCCTTGGACTGGAGGAGCCAAGCTGCATCCGGGAGCCGCCTCAACCAGCTCCTCCAGGACGGAGTGAACCCCTCGAACCTGAGACAGCGGCAGCTCCCTCCCATTAAACACAATCCCCTCCAGACAACCCCGCAGCCCATTTACCACAAGTCTTCCTGAGCCGGACGCCGGCCGTGCATGACCCCCAAAGTACATGCTGGTGTCCAGGTTGAGTGTGCGCAGAGTTCCTGGAGCAGTGCCAGATGCAGCGTGGACCTGATCTAGGACCAGTCTAGCGTAGTTGCCATCTACCTCGAGAGAGACAGTGTGCCACTCTCCATCACTGACCTGGGTACTGTGCACGGACACCACACCAGGACCACTGCCGCAGTCGAACTTGTACTGCAGGCGGCCGTTCACAATCTGAAACAAACACACACAGTCTTGTCTTTCATGCTGACCCTATATTAAAATGACAAACATCTGGAGTCAATTAAAATATTTAGTGTTTCAAGTCAAATCCACATTCACTATTGACAGTCAAAATATTTTAAATAATTATTTATATATTGTTATTACATTTCTTAAAAATAAACTGATAAATAATTCTTAAAATATAATTATATTTATAAAATAATATAAATCAGCTTATGTGAACCTGTCCTTTTAAGTTGCATGTTGTATGTATAAATATATAAATGGGTATCTCTCAAAACCTAGTAAGTCACCTAAATGGACAAACCAAGGCAAATGCAATGTTTTTGGGCATTATGTGCAAGGTTTTATTTTTGCACATTTTTGGGCATCATAGGCATATTCTGTGTCAGCATCTTTTTTGGACTGAAAACAAGCTTATGATGGCCAAAATGTGTGCCTATAAAAGTTATTGTCTAAGTAGGCAGTTTATTAGTTACTTTTAAACAGCCAAAAAGATGACTCTGTGAAGTACTTCAGGTGTGATATTGTAGTATTCCGGCAGTTAAATTGTTTCAACAGATGAAATGAGGAATGATTCTTCAGGGATAAGCAGAATCAGATTATTATTATAATGTAACAGCAGGGAGATGACACTGCTTGCATTTCAGTCCCAGACTCCTTTGCTCTTTCTGTCAGTTGTGTGGTTTTCCCTCACCAAATTGCAATGCATGAGAAAGAGCTCCCCTCTCTTCTCCCAGCTCCAGAATAACTCCTTTTCTGTTCTCTTCTCTTTTTTTTGGAAGGACTGAAGGGGTTAAGAGCACACACTCACCTCCAGTATGCTGTAGTCTGTGCCTTTGGCGTACATGACAGTGGCGTGAGTGGAGAACGTTCGCAGTCTGAGGGATAGCTTCATTTCTTCCTTATTCTCGTTCTCCATTAGCCTGTACCGTGCATATCCATTTCCGCTGAATGTTAGGGACTGACGCTCTACAACACAGAGAGCAAACCAAAACAAATTATAAGTGATGCTATCATAATGTCCACAGCCAACAATATGTTTTGAATGCAGCAATAATAAATGTCCACTTCATGCACAAAATGTTACTGCTTGAAATGCTGCAAAACACAAACCATTCATAATTCAGCATGCAATGACATCAGTGCGATTTGAAACCGCTAACAAGGAAATCAGTGTGGTTGAAATGTCATCCTGGGTGGTTTCTTATTGGCTTACTGGTTTATTATTGTGAACTAAAACTAAAACCATAATAAAACATTTTCATTACTTAAAATAAAATAGTCATTAACTAAAATAAAATATTATATTCTATATATATATATATATATATATACACACACACACACACATTTCAGCTAGTCGCAAAGGCAACATTTCTCATTTTCGTATAGTTTTAGCTGGAGTACTAAAACAAAAAAAAACAGTAAATATGACAAAATACAACAAAATTACTAAAACTTTCAAATTAAAATAAAAACAGAAATGTAGAAAGTAAGGGTTATTTACTATTTTATAATAGTAATTATTATAGGTAATTTACTATATTTTTTGTCCATAGCACAAAAATAGCAGGATGAGTTATGTAAATTGGGCCTTCAATATGGTGCTTCAATAAAGTGTGAGTTGCACTAAGCTGTGTGACAGCACATAGATGTGTGTTCATACCTGAGCACTCTTCCTGTTTTCCCTCAGGACAGATGCATTTGAATTTGGTGTGTATGGGGTCTTCTACACACTCCATGCCATCAGGACAGGGGCTTGCCTCACAGAGTTTACTCAGGACAGGACACTCAGCTCCTATAATCACACATAAAGGGTTAACATCACTCTAGACTGAAAGTGAAATATATGGAATATTCTGTGGTTGTATATTCGTGTTACCTTCACAGAGACATTTGGATGTGCGCATGTGACGTGGCGTAACAAAACTAATCCTAGCCGTGCTGTAGGCTGACACTGCTCCCGTCTCCAAGGAAACCGTCTCTTGGCAGTAACTAAGAGGACAGTCCAAACCGGCACAGAGTTTCTTCACAACTCGTACAATACGGACTCCAGTCATCTCTTCGATTACCCCAACGGAGGCATTCAGCTTCCTGTACACCACTTCCTGGGGCTGGAATGGACTTCCTGACCTTTCTAGAGCTAGAAGTACTTCCAGGTCACCGGAGGCATCAGCAGCAGGTTGCAAGCTGACTAACTGCACGTCTCCGCGTCTGACACCGGCGATATTCCGCAAAGCCCGCAAAAAGTTACGCCAATAATCTCCGATAAACTCCTCCGGCGCTATTGCAGAGAAACGCACAGCGATGGAGTTATTGAGTGCTTGTGCTGTTGCCTGTCGTACGTGAATATTGACTCGGGCAGCAGCAGTAAAGCGACCATCTGTCACTGTAATGTTAAGGACGTATTGACCAGCATCCAGATTCCCACGGGCCACGAGTTTCCCATCAGCGGGGGAGACGGAGAAGAGGCCAGAGTTTTCAGAGGTGGAGGAAATATCAGGTGCGAGGCTGTAGGTTAGAGTGTCATAAACATCCTGATCGGTGGCGTGGATTTTACCCAGGACCCCACCTGAATATTCATCTGTTGCTGTGGTGATAAAGATGTCCAGGGGAAGAATGACAGGAGGGTAGATGCTCTCCTCGATCAAACGTACACTCACAAACGCCGTGGAGACCAATGGTGGGCGACCGCTGTCCGTTACCTAGGACAAAAGAGTCAAGAGATTTAGGATTCAGAATTGCAACAATTAGAAATCATTAGTTTCATACTTTCATACTAATATTTGGGGTTTGGGCATCAAATCCCCAATGCTAATTTTAAACAATAGTAACACTGATGTTTGTCTTAAAAAGCACTAGTATTTACAGAAGGAAGAATTTGAGAAAGGAGTCTAATTTCAAAACACAACTGTTTTCATACCTCTTATGCTATATCTCACTTTACAGTTCAGAACAGCAAGTATTTGGGCGACCGCTGTCCGTTACCTAGGACAAAGGAGTCAAGAGATTTAGGATTCAGAATTGCAACAATTAGAAATCATTAGTTTCATACTTAGACGTCAAGGTTTAATATTTGGGGTTTGGGCATCAAATCCCCAATGCTAATTTTAAACAATAGTAACACTGATGTTTGTCTTAAAAAGCACTAGTATTTACAGAAGGAAGAATTTGAGAAAGGAGTCTAATTTCAAATCACAACTGTTTTCATACCTCTTATGCTATATCTCACTTTACAGTTCAGAACAGCAAGTATCATAAATGTTGTTAACTAAAACAATACACTATTAGTCATATAACATATGGTGCCAAATCATCAGCTTAAGTCAGCTGTTTGAAGTGTAATTGAGTATTTGGGCAGAACGTCTTTGCACATGTTGTATGGAGAGACTGATGATAAGTGCCAGTCACAGTCAGTAGAGGGAGCACTTGAGCCTGGATTTACTCTTGTAGCAATGGACAACTGCACAAGTTTGAGGCTGGCTCATGTCCTTCCTCTTTTACCAATCACTTTGCCTCCCATTTCACTATCCCTATTGATTTCCCGGAGTTATTTTATAAAACAGGTGTCATTTGTAGCCCTAATAAAAACACACAGAAAAGTTTAGCAGTGATTAAATTAATTTATTTAAAAAAAATGTTTTTTTTTAATTGATGAAAACTCAATATATGGAAATAAAAGAACATGCATTTAGAGAATCACCTTATCAAAATGGAAAAGGGACCCATAGAATGACCTACTGAACAAAGGAAACGGTACACCTAAAAGAAGATGAGACTGGGAAAGAGACTGCTGTAATCATTTTCTTACGGGCCCTCTCCTCTGCTAAGGTTTTCATGGCTGCTCCTTCATACTCTATTGCACATGCCAGGCCCATGTGGGGAATACTGAACAAGCAACACCTCAGCTCTACAGATCATCTATCCCTTCATACCTCCAGCAGCCCTAATAAAAACACACAGAAAAGTTGAGCAGTGAATAGCCTATGCCATTTTTTTCTAAATACGTCAATAAGAAATTAGTAACTACAAAATTAATTTATTAAAAAAAATTTTTTTTTTAATTGATGAAAACTCAATATATGGAAATAAAAGAACATGCATTTAGAGAATCACCTTATCAAAATGGAAAAGGGACCCATAGAATGACCTCCTACTGAACAAAGGAAACGGTACACCTAAAAGAAGATGAGACTGGGAAAGAGACTGCTCAATCATTTTCTTATGGGCCCTCTCCTCTGCTAAGGTTTTCATGGCTGCTCCTTCATACTCTATTGCACATGCCAGGCCCATGTGGGGAATACTGAACAAGCAACACCTCAGCTCTACAGATCATCTATCCCTTCATACCTCCAGTGAAAACTGAACAAGACTCCTACAGCTTCAGTGAGAGCTGGAGAATCAGAGGGAGAGATTGAGGTCTCACCTGGGCCTGTAGGAGGTAGAACTCTTGAGTCTGGCGGCTCAGAGTTACCGCGGAGACCAGCACGCCCTGAGGAGTTATTTGGAAGGCTTCGCCCTCGTTCCCACTGATGATAGAAAATGTGAAAGGAGGTCCATTGTGGGAGGCATCACGGTCAGACACGGTCAGTTGGAGAATACTGGTACCGACTGGCTGGTTCTCCTATACAACATATGCAGAACACGTTAAAGGTTTTATCATTTAGACCTACAACATTCACACTTTTTTTTTTTACATCTTAAGGCAAATTTGGCATGTAACACATTTTACGACTTAAATTGAGAAGCTATGATTATATTTTAGTGCCAGCAAGCACAGGCATATCTGGTGACTAATAATGATTTTTCCTTAGAGCAATGTTTCAAAAGGCAAATGGAAACAGTTTTCGTAATGCATTTAACTTCCATAATGATGAATTTCAGCGTGAAACACATGATTCTGTCGGAAATAATGTAGGAAGTAATTACTTCCCCTTTTACTATTGATATTTGTTTGCATCATGAAAAGTATACTAATATTATTGCTTAATGTTGTTTTAAGTTGTTTTTGGTCAAGATAGTTGATTAGTAAGTTTATGTAAAAAATCTTTTTCATGTGTGACTTTTTACCAAATTCAGATTTTTTTTTATACTGTTTAAGTGTTATTTTAGTATTATTTATATACTATTATGGTCTTTACTGATATTTTGAATTAGTTTTTATTTTTAGATCTTCAGTTTTCATTTTACTTTACGTTTTGGTAATTGTATGTGCTTTTTTTGCTAATTTTATTTAAATTTAAATTTTTTGTTTTTCAACTTGAACTAAAAAACTAAAGATTTTAAAGCTTAAGTGTTTAATTTTATTTCAGCTTTTTTCATTTCATTTTTAGTTTATCTATAACTAACAATAACAAGACTGCACTTTGTCAGTGTCATTAATATGAAGAATTATTTTACTCTACACAGCTGTTTTTGAATGCAAAAAACTTTTTTTTTTTTGTGAAATGCATCTGATTGGTGTCTAATGACCCTAAATCAACAGACATTGGAGAGAGATTACTGACAGTGAAAACAATGTATCATCTCCTCTGAGGACTCAGACCTGTATAATGATGCTGTAGTTGGCCTGAGAGAAGAGAGGTGGGTTATCGTTTATGTCCGAGACGTCTATGTTGACCGTAGCGCTGCTAGATCGAGCCGGGCTTCCATTGTCAGAGGCCAACACAGTCAGTGTGTAACCTGAAGTCTAAAAACAAAACAAAATGCCATCATTAGGTTTCAGCAACAGACTGCCAATGCACCTGCTACTGAGACACCCGAGTGTTTTGAACCTTCTCTCTGTCGAGCTGGCGGGCCACCTTGACCTCTCCTCTGATGGGGTCGATGGTGAAAGGACTGCCTTGATTGCCATCAATGATGGAGAAGCGCACCTGATTACTGGATGGACCATCTGCATCGTCAGCCATGACCTTCACACATGGAGAAACACACACCTGGTTAATATAAAGATTGCCACGGACTCAGGTATGCAACACCCCCGCCTTTCGTCCTTCTTGCCTCGCGAGTCAGTAACTATTGGCTGAGACCCTCGAGGGAAATCAGAAGGCATGCAAGTGAAACAGAGCTGGGTATCAAAGCCTCACTTTCACACTGACAATTTATATTCAGCATGATAAGACTTCTCTACTAAATGACCAGAGTGAGAGCGAGATAGAAGACTGCAGACAACAGATTGGTGTGGGTCGCTGAGCTTTAGTTTGACATTGGACTGTGTTTGTTTAGTATGTGTGTTCTTTGCTCTGTGTTGATTTTAGGAGATGATGTAACCCAGAGACCTGAGCAGGGCACAATAAAATCAGAAGTGCTTCAGAAAGAGAAGCCGATGACTCACAGCGAGCACGATCTTTCCCAGCTCTGCGTCTTCGCTGACCACAGCAGAGTAAATATCTTGGCTGAAGACGGGGCTGTTGTCGTTTACATCCGTCAGGTTGATGTTCACTGTGGCCATGTCACTGAGTGACGGCGTGCCTCCATCTGTAGCCTCCACTGTTAGATAATACTCATGTGCTGTTTCGTAGTCCAAAGGCTCGATCACGAAGACACCACCTGGGAAGAAAAGGACAATGAAAACCTCTCTAAATAATGAAATATTTATTTTCCAAATAATTAAGTAAATATTTGGATGAACAGATAAATAAATGAATGAATGAATGCATATAGTGTTATAAGAGCATTCAAATAATCCAAAGCCAGTCCATGAAGTGTCTAATATGAATCCATCAGAAGTCAACTTGAAATTTAACTGGAAGTCAGTGCTGCAGGGATCTCAAGAGGTTCATCTAAGCTGCTGTGTTTACCTGTATGGGGGTCGACGCGGAACGCTCCTCTCTCGTTTCCATTGATAATGGCGTATGTAATCTCTGCTCCTGCTTCTGTGTCTCGGCTGGCTGCGTGCACCCGTAACACCTGGGTGCCCACCGGAATGTCTTCAGAGACGGTGGAAGTGTACTCGCGCCGCTCAAACACTGGAGGGTTGTCGTTGATGTCCAAGATGGAAACACTGACAGTGGTGAGGGAAGAGAGACGCCGCGGGGACCCACGGTCTGTGGCAAAGGCGCGGAGGGTGTAGAGTGACTGGAGTTCACGGTCCAGAGGACGATCCAGATGCACGATGCCAGTTTCCTCATCGATGGAGAACACACCATCAGCAGAGTCCAGCAGTGAATAGAGGATCTCTGCATTAGAACCTAAACACACACACAAATCACAATAATATTAATAAAGACATTTAAGATGTTTATAAGCTTTCAAATCAATGGCAAAGCCTCCAGCAGTTAAAATTATTTTTTCTTCGTTTCTTCAATCATTTGCTTAACTATAATGACTTATAAATTCATCCAACAAAAGATTCAGTGGTGAAACCTCTGGTCCTGAGCTGCATATTAAGAAGTGTGAGTGAGTGGCACTTATTGTATTGGGGAAAGCACACACACACACACACACAAACAAACAAACAAGATGAAGATAGAGTACACTAATCCCTCTAATGCATTTTTGAGTAAGCCTCATTTGTGGCTTGCTAGTACAATCCTATCTATCAAGACACACTCTCTCATTATAGCCAGTTAACACAATCTCTTGTGTTCTACAAAGTTTCAGTCAGATCAAATTACTGGAATGCAGCTGCTTTATGACAGTTCAGTATTGTGCAAGTCTACTGATCACTGAATAAACACCTTCTTATGATTATTTCAAGTCTATTGGTGCAGTTATTGTAGGCCAATCCCATAGACCTCCATTGAAAGTGCAAGTAAAAGCATGTCATAGGTGCCGTTCATAGAATTTAACTAGTATTTTACCACATCAGGGACCTTCAAAAAAGCAACCAATGATCTGAAGGTTGTGGCATTGATACTGAGAAATGAGGGAAGAAGAGATTGCTTGTGTTTAGGCCAGACGTAAGTGAACAGGGTCTGGAATGTACACAGAGCACACAATGTGTCTATTTGAGGATATAGAGTACAGAACAAAAGGACGATAAGAGAGGAATCCATGCAAATGGAAATCAGAGAAATTAAGGGGACGCGAGTGAGAGAGAGAGAAAGACAGAGAGGTTTGTGTTCTTCTAGATTAAAGGTGCTGCCCTGTTTGACTGAGAACGTCATATGTGCGTGTTGGTTTCCTCTCTAAAGAAATAAAACGACAGATGGACACGACAGGCCATACTGTTGCAAAATTGGAGAATATATTGGGAAACACACTTATTTGCAAACACAATTTCTATTTTAACATATTTTTAAATCAATATATCTTTGTTCTGGATACTGGAGATCTTACCCGTGTCCAGGTCTGAGGCGTACAGGCGAGCCACAGGTGTGTTTATCTCTGTGTTTTCAAACACAGTAAAGGTGTAGGGGTCAGAGGTGAATTGCGGAGCATTGTCGTTGACATCTTCGACTGTGATTTCAACTTCTGCTTCACAAAAGCGTCCGCCTCCATCCAGAGCGCGCACCTTCATCTTGTGAACCTCCTCTTCTTCACGGTCCAGAGGGAGCAGTGTTTTCAATTCACCTGATGAAATCAAGAAATCAATCAATAATGAGTGTTCAAATCAATAAGACTTTTGTTCCTCTTTGAAGATATTTTTAATGAAACCAGAGAGATTTCGGATTTAATTTAGGATTTACCACATTTAATGTGATGTGCATTAATCAATGTTTATATCTAAATAAAATCCTTAATGAAATATTTTCATCACAGTGTTTACAAGGTATTTATGAACATTTTGAAGCGTCAAAGGTTTGGTTGCATGGACTTTCAATGGATGGACAGAAATGTATCAGGTTCCATTAAAAATATCTGTAAAAACTGGCTTGGAGCAACATGAGAGTGAGTAAATGATCACAGAACTTTCATTTTGGGGTGAACAAATTTTGAGAATTTGAGTAAACTCTAGTTTGTAGGCACCCTGATGCTGCTTCCACACACACAAACAGTTCTGCTCTCTCATTCTTCATGTCTGCAAAGCTGCTTTGTATATTTATTATAGTTGTGGCTTGCTAAAACCCCCAAAATGTACTCCCCATCAATCATTTTGAACATCAGCTGGCACTGCACTAATGAACAAGACAAAATCCAATTCCACTTCAAGCTTATCTCATCTGTCAAGTCAAGAGGACACTCTAAAAACACCAGCAAGGGAGACAGTTGTCTCTTTCATGAGGAAATTATCTGACCTAATAATTTCAGCAAGCATAAGCTAAGCTCCATTGGAGTGGTCACTGATTTAAAACTGCCGTTTTGTGTTCCAGCTGTTTGCTGTCGACCCTTGAGCTGGAGTGCATCTCAAGGAGGATGAATGCAGGATGTCCAAAAGTTCCCCCTCGAGGAAAGCTAAAATCATCCTTGCGCTGAGAGGCTTTAAGAAATAGAAAAGATTAAAGAGGAGAGGGATGGTGAGAAATTAGAGAAATAGCAAGGGAGAAGAAAGTGCAGTCAGCATGTGGGCTGCTTGGAGAGTGAGCTGAGAAAAGAAGCAAAGGGAAAGTCACCCTTGGAACAGCAGCCGCCAGCTTTCAGGGGTCTGGTTGGCTCGCATGAGAGCACACTTGGCATTGCTAACTTGCAATAATGCTCCTCTTCTTTTTCTCGATGGAACGAAGGAGAAAAAAAGTGAAGAAAATTCTCTGTGCACACTAAACCCACACAGAAGAACAGTAGCGCTCCTTCAGTTTGCGAGCCAGCATTCCCTGCCTTCACACTCAGCCTTATCAAAGAGCCAGTGACTAGCGCCTTTACAAAAGCATTTGTGTTGTAGCAGTGTGACGCTGTCACAAACCCACTGTTGATTTCTGCTCTCTTTCCGCCTGGAACCGATGTTTTAATTCACACAGTTGAGAGACAGTTGATTTGAGTTAATAGCTGAAGTGGGGAAACACTTGAAATGTTTTATTAAAATATTTGGTGTGATTGTTTTTTTGTGAAAAACACAGACAAGTAAAAAAAAAATGAAAAGAACAATACTGGCAACAGATTTCCATGGTATTCACTGTAAAACTAAGGGTGTACATCCTTCCCTGGAATTAAACAAGTAATTAAATTCGAATTAATTATGGTTTTAAATAGGATGTGTGTTTGACTGTAGGCAAAAGCAAATGATGTTGTAAATGTTCAGTGTGTATGTGGCATTTATTTGTCTGGATGTTGAGACAATGATTCTTAGACTGTTCAGATGTTTGGGGTCCGTAAGATTTTTTTAATGTTCTAGAAATAAGTCTCTTATGCTCATCAAGTTTGCATTTATTTGATCAAAAATATAGTAAAAATAGTATTATTTATGTGAATAAAGTGAAATAGTTTAATGAAGGAATAATAAATAGTAATGGTACTATTAATAAAGATAGTAATAGTAAAGGTAAATATTAACAAATTTAAAATAACCTTTTTCCTTGCTAAATAACAGCATTAATTTCTTTACAAATATTTTACTAAGTGCAAACTTTTGAACAGTGTGTGTGTGTGTATTTATGCATGGCATTTTACATAGTTAATTTGGCCTGTTTAACATGCACATCCAAATAGTGATGATTACCTGTCTCAGAGTCGATGCTAAAGTGCTCTGATCCGGGCCCTAGCAGCTCGTAGGAGATCTGTGCATTGGAACGGATGTCGGCATCTGTGGCGGAGACCTGCAGGATCAGTCTACCCGAAGGGGAGTCCTCCGGGACACTTTCCATATAGAATGACTGCAACAGAAAGGAAGACGTGAAAAGCAGAAGTGACTTAAAAAATGGGAGGATAAGGCCCAAAAAGTAAAAAGAAAGAGTTTGGACGTAATTGTGCAGCCAAATTGAACAGAGGGCTATTAAATTAACATTATTCAAAAAGGAACACAATTTGTGTAAAAGAAGCACATTAGCCCTCACAAAACCCTCTCACAGTACAAAATCGCTCTCTTTGTTTCTTAAATGCTGCATTTCACATAAGGACCTTTTCAAATCCCTCCTGACATTCTCTCTTTCTCTCTAAGTCTCGTCCCATTTAGCATGCACAGCGGGTAGGCAGCGCCCTCCCCTTAACAGACAGAATCAGACTACATGACATTTTGCTGCAATGTACTTCCCACACACACATACACACAAAACTAACATTCATACCTTCTCACAAAGTGGGTTGTTGTCATTGGCATCTAAGACCTTGACTTCAACCACAGCCTTGGCTGTGAAGGTCCCGTCAGTGGCCGTAATGTTCAGCAAGTAATTGTCCTTCTCCTCCCTGTCGAGAGGCTTCTGCACAGAGACCTTCCACTCGCCTTGAGTATGCTCAATGCCAAACTGTCCCAAGGGGTCTCCACCTTCAGAGAGCAAACACGAGAAATGTCAGTCAAACTAATGAATGTGAACGGCAGTTAAAATGATTATTTATTTGTGTGGTTTCCTGCTGTATGTGTAGTAGCTATAGTAATGGCTCAATTTATAACTGCTTAAATTTCACAAGTTATTGTAAGATATCTGTGCTCCACAGCATTCATGAAGTTTCACTTCTTGTTTGCTTGGACTTCACAACATTAACACAAAGCGCCTGTGTAATTAAGTGGCAGTGTGACTTGTTATGCCAATTTCTGTCATCACTCTGTGATCAGGCGAAAACGAGTGAATGTAATGAGACCGTTTTCTCTGCCAGGAAGTGCTCATCTCATCTCACACTTGGCATCGTTGTTCGCATTAATTAATTATGACCAGAGCTGAAACATTCCCGCTTTGTTTCAAAAGCGTTGTTGGGAAAATTATCCAGTTTTCTATTTATAATCTCTGATCTAAGTGATCTAAGTATTCTTTACACAGAAATCCTTCAGAACGCGACAATTTGATCACACATCAAAGCATATTTTGCTTTAGCTGTGAGTGGTTTCCCAAAGATTATTAATTGCTGGTACTATAAATTATTCTATCATAAATTAGTGAAGATAAACTACTGCTAAAATTAAACTAGAGGTACAAAATCAAAATTAGACCTACCTGTGATAAAGTAGTTGATTTGCTTGTTATTGTCCTCTGTGTCCAGGTCTGTAGTGCTAAGAATGGCTATGACTCCTCCAGGTGGGTCATCTTCGCTTACTGTGCCCTTATAGATCTCTGCTGTGAACCTTGGTGGATTGTCATTCACATCTACCATTGTGACATCCACCTTAGTTTTGGCCATCAGCTGTACTTTGTCTCCACGGTCGGTGGCTAAGACTGAAACAGTGTACTTGCTTTTCTTCTCACGGTCAAGTTCCTTTAATGTGGTAATCCATCCCGTTTCACTGTTGATGGCAAACAATTCTGCAATGTCCCTTGTCTCTTGGTTGGACTCTAGATTGTAAATCATATGGCCATTAGTGCCAGAGTCCAGGTCAGTGGCCTTTACCTGTATAACAGAGGTGCCACCTGGAAGATTCTCCACAACGAAAGCTTCATAAGGGTTTGACTCAAAGAGCGGTGGATTATCATTTACGTCCTTGACCTGGATACTAATGTCCACAGAGGAGATGACTTTGTTACCATCATATTCGCTTTGTGCTTGTAGGGTTAGCAGATACCATTTGGTGCTCTCGTGGTCAAGCTTCTTCTCCAGCTTCAAAGATCCTGAGGTGGGGTCAACTACAAATACCTCATCTTGGTTGCTCTCAGGAGTATTCCCTTTCACCAGGCTGTAAAAGACTGGCTGATCACTTTCAGCCTGAATGACATCTATTTCTGAACCAAGAGGAAGATCTTCATCTATGGCAAACCTGTAGTGGGACTCTATGAACTTTGGCACTGGGACCTCAGGAGCAAGAATCCTGACATAGACTGGAACAACAGAGGACTTGGTGGGATTTCCACCATCTTTTGCTCGTACAAGAAACGTGTAGAGTTGGTTCTCCAATCCAATGAGGCTTTCCTTTGTTACAATGACACCACTAAACTGGTGTATTTCAAAATTCTCTTCAACATTGTCTGCGTCTCCTTCAATAGAATAGGTGAAGTCTGCATTACTACCTTCATCCATGTCGGATGCTGCAATCTTAAGTATGGTTGTTCCTCTTGGCATGTCGGAAGCAACGTTAACTCTGTAATCAGCAGCTCTGAACTGCGGGGTATTATCATTGATATCCGTTAAGATCACATTTACAGTGCAGAAGCCAACTTTGCCACCGCCATCTTTAGCGATTAAAGAAATCGGAATCACTTTCTCCAGTGGATTCTCTCGGTCAAGACTCTCCAAAGTGAAGATCTCTCCATTTTCAGAAATTGAGAACTTGTCTTTAGCAATGTCATTGACTATATGATAGGTGAGTCTTCCATATGTACCTGAGTCCTCATCTGTCGCTTGAGCCTCAGCTACTAATGTTCCAACTGGTGAGTTCTCAAGAAGCTCAACCACATAATCCACCTGGTTGAAAGCAGGATTGTGAAAGTTAGCACTAATAACATTGACCTTCACAATAGCTGAACTTCTGAATACACCATCAGATACAGACACATTGATGTTGTAGAGAGACTCCATATGGGGTTTCCGGTGGTTTGATATGACTATAGCCCCAGTGTTTGGATCTATAGCAAAGTTTTGCCCTTCATTTCCTGACATAATTGAGAATTCAAGTTTACCACTATCTGAGTTGTCAGCATCGGAAGCCTGAACCTGGGTGACAAAGTGGCCACGGGTTGCCAGTTCACTGACCGTAGCTTCATAGACATTCCGTGAGAAAACTGGAGTGTTGTCATTAAGGTCTGTTACATCAATTAACACCATGACCTCACTGGAAAGGGCAGGTACTCCACCATCAACTGCTCTAATCATCAGCTTATGTGAGGGTTTTTCTTCATGGTCAAGCATCTGAGTTGTCCAGATTGTGCCTGTGTCACGATCGATGCTAAAGTAATCAGCGCTCTTGTCTTTATCTTCAACAATCTGATAAAAGAGCACTTGGTTGTTACCGGTATCAGCATCTGTAGCTGAGACTTGTAATACGGATGTCCCGATCACTGAGGCTTCTGAAAGACTTGCATTGTACAATTTGGTATGGAACACAGGTGGGTTATCATTAACATCTTCCAAGATTATGTCAACAAAGACTTCAGCTTTGGCACCGGTTAGCGAGTCGGTGGTCCTTACGCTGAGTTTATAGGCTGGGTGGGTTTCGAAATCCAAAGGCTTTACAACCTGAATGACACCAGTATTGAAGTTGATGGAGAACTGATTGAGAGGGTCCCCTTCTGTGATTGTGTACACTACTCTAGGGCCTTCAGAGTCATTAGCCTGAATGTGTACAACAGGCGTTAGTAATGGTATGTTCTCTGGGATCTCCAGACTGTAGAAGGCTTTCTCAAACACAGGCATTGCTTTGTTTACAACCATTATTGGCACTTCAACAGATGAGGAAAGTGTTGGTTCACCTCCATCTCTGGCTACAATGGTGATTTTAAATTCAGTGTTAAGGGAGTCCTTCTCAAGCTTCTTTGTTAGTGAGATTTCACCATCCATGCTGATCTGAACAAACTCATTTAGCTCCTGAAGATGGTAGCTGATCTCAGCATTTCTGTCGATATCTGCATCAACCGCAGTCACTTTTGTGATGATGTGACCCACCTCAGTGTCAACCAGCACCAGTGCCTGATAGGGTAAATTGACAAACACAGGTGGGTTATCATTGACATCCTCGATTATCACAGTCACAAGGACATGGGCTACATCAGATGACTTGTCTTCTCTGGTCACCTCCACCACAATATCAAATACGGCTTGCTCTTCTCGATCAAAGGGTGTGCCTGTAGAGGAGAGTACTCCCGAAGTATGGCTTATTGCGAATCTCTTATCAGGGTTCAGAATTGTATAAAACAAAGGTTCATTGACTTGGCTTCCCACTGCAGCAATTACAGCTAAAGTCTTCTTCTCTAAGGACTTTTCTGGTACAAAGGCCTTGTATGATTCTTGGGTGAACCTCAGAGTACTCTCCTTATTCTCTCTGACATTTATTTTTACCAAAGCTGTTTTAGAAAACCTGCCATCAGACACCCTTACTCTGAGCTCATACCTGCTTCTAAGCTGAGTGACATTTTGAATAGTGATAACCCCTGTGACCGGGTCCATTTTAAACTTCTCTCCAATATTGCCTTCGACAGTAGAGTAAAACAGCCTTGAGTTTGGACCTGAGTCTGCATCTGTGGCATTGACTGTGATCACTTCCACTCCTTTGTAAGTTGGCACTAAGACTGTGGTTTCATATAGACCTTGGCTGAACTGAGGCGGGCAGTCATTGACGTCCAGGATCTCAATAGTCACGTTAGCAGCCTTCTCTGCAAAATGACGAGGGATTCCCATGTCGTGGACTTGAACAGAAAAGCGAAACACAGATCTTTGCTCATAATCAAATTCACTGATGGTTCTGATTGCACCAGTGCTAGAGTCGATGGCAAAGTAATTATGGGCAAATGGCTCAACAATCTGATAGACCAGCCTAGAGTTAGCATCATGGTCAGTGTCTAAAGCACGGATTACAAGTGGTGTGTTGTCTTTGGTGAGGACTACACTGTTGACTGGAGAAGACTCGCTGACCATTCCAGTGAACTCATCTTGAATAAATACAGGTGCATTATCATTCTCATCCTTCAAGTGAATCAGCAGAGTAGTGTTACTAGCCAGACCAGCCATGTTGGTTCCCTGAATGGTTAGTTTGTATGATGGAATATTCTCGTAATCCAGAACCGAATGGGTCACAACGACTCCAGAGTTGGGGTTGATGTCAAACACTCCATTCACATTTCCGTCTTTAATCTGATAGAACACTGATGATCGGCTGTTGGCAGTTACCAGACTCACAAAGGCTCCAGGCAGAGCGGTTTCGCTGACTTCAGCAGAAAACTCCTCCCTTGCAAATTTAGGGATGGCATTGTCGGAAATAGTGACAGTTATGTCAACAGAAGCAGTAGCACTAAGTGGTGGTGTGCCTTTGTCAGAAGCTTTCACAGTTAGCTCAAATTGGTTCTTGTTGCTACGGTCCAGCTCTTTTGCCACAGTGATTGTGCCCAGGATAGGATCAATAGCAAATGAATTGCCCACGTTTCCTAGGAAGGAATATGGCAAAGATGCATCAAACACTTGCTAAAAGGTTTAGATTTTACTTTTCAGAACTCTTTAGAACTCATTGATTTAAGCATTTGATGTCAAACTGCTTTAAAGACTAAATAAAATGGATGCACTGATTTAAAGTTACAGATGACATAATTTTCTAAGTGTAAATGTTTGATTTGCTTTATCTATAATGAATATTTGAGTTTGTCAAGGAAAGGAACCATCTGTATTTCCTTAGACAAATCAGCTGCCTGTGCGTCAGTCATTCAGTATGTGATCTGAACATTGTTTGCTGTCTCATGCACACACGCACAGTACATTTCAATTAGCTTCTGTAATCTCAGACATTACAAATATGTGCATTCTCAAAAGGCCACTTGGCGTCATATCTGTGCTATGCTCTGCTTTCAAAACGCTCACAGTTGTGTGGACTGAAGCACCCTTGGCTGCCACATTCAATATCTCCCACATTTTTACCTTTAAGTGGCCAGCATGGGCCGCTCCTGTGGATCTCCTATCAATATCCCGTGTTAAAACAAAGAGGATATGATAGGCTTATAAACTGTAATAGAGCAAGTGAGGCAAAGCGAACGCACACCTGTAGAGGTGCAAGCTGAAGGAAAAAATTACCTAATTGAAAGAGAACAACTGCACACTCACTTAAGCATAGGCTATTTATTAACCAACGTTCGGCTAGTAGCCTTTGTCAAGGTCTTTGTCACCTTGACAAAGGCTATTAGCCAAAACGCTGGTTAATAAATAGCCTATGCTTAAGTGAGTGTGCAGTTGTTCTCTTTTTAATTAGGTTTATAAACTTTGTCTGTTTCTACTTACTTGCCTTTTCAATGTTCAGGCATTTCATACATAATATGTATACAATATGTAGTTTCCTGGACAAATTGGATAAAAGTCAAGTGCAATCAAATCAATCAGATGGATTACCTGACTCAATGCTATAGATGATCTCAGCATTCTGCCCTTTGTCTTTGTCAAGAGCAGAGACCTGAAGCACTGCAGAGCCGATTGCAGCAGACTCAAACACACGGCCCACATACGGTGAACCAGAGAACCAAGGTGCATTGTCATTGGTGTCATGGACATTTACAATCACACGCACCAGGTTCCGCTTCACAGGAATGTCCTGATCTCGTACCTGCAGTGAGGAGAGGAGAGGAGAGGAAAGGGCATATAAAAAAAGCAATTCTCCAATAATTTCAACACTTTGATTACAAGCTTATGTGAAACGCATCAAACACTTTACATGCAAGTCCTTAGGCGATTCGCCTCCATGTCGACTGAATTAAAGGGAAAACAAACTGCCAGGATAGTTTACGGTGAAGGATGGCTGTCTGGCTAACATTTCTAAATCAGACAGAAAAATCAATTGGACAGATGATGCTGTAAATTAGGTAGCAGACTACATGATCTCACCATGACAGTTAGAGTATGTTGGTGCATGGCTTCGTGGTCTAGTTTCTCTGCAGTGTACAACACCCCGGTTCCAGGATCTAGTCTGAACTTGCGTAGACTGAATGGGTCAGTGCTGCTGAGGAGGGTGTAGGTTAGCTTGTTCTTCTCATCCTGGTCTGTAGCTGTAATCTGTAACACCTCTGTGTCAGGTGGGGTATCTTCAGGGACATTCACTTCATACTTAGACTTAGAGAACTGGGGACGATGATTGTTGGTGTCGATCACTTTAATAAGAATCTGTAAACACAAACAAAAAATAAACAATTTAGAAACTGTTAGGCTTTGTTTTTTCAGTGTGTCAATTTCTTGTAATTAAAAATGATAGCAAGCATGTGTCAGGTAAAATTTTAAGTATATTACTATAATCAATGATAACATTATTGGTATTCTATGATGAATGGTTTAAACCATAACATACACTAAGCAAGTAAAATATCTGGCTAACAGAGATCACTGTAAATGGGGTAAGAGAAACCAAGCGAGAGAATAACTGTGTCCTAAATGTATCAATGCTCTTAAAAGATCCATTAAAACACCCATATACAAATTCACCAAGGCATGTCAAAACTCTGGAACATAACTGCTAATTTAAGAAACAGAGAGGAAGATCAGCGAGACAGTTAGGTCAGGCCAGTCTAACAACCATCTAGTTGTTTAATGAGGTTGACTAGTGAGTTTATCTATATTTTGTTACGTTTTAGTGCAAGTGATTTCCAAAAGGATTAATTAAAAACAAAACCTCACATCTCTGTGCCTGTCAGATCAATTAAACCCTCTCAGGTAAGCTGAGTGTCTAAATTCATTCTCTTTAAAGCACCGCGGCCAAAGCCATCAAAGCACCGCTTTTGCAACAAATGAATCGCTTCCAACAATATTTCTACACAATTACTACTAGACTACAAATCACCTGCTGTGAGCAAGGTTATGCATAATCTGTAGGTCTCTGCTTGTTTTGGAGAAGTATAATGGCTGTGTGCAAAGTTGAATTAAGTGTTATAGTTATCTGTTTAAGTCTTAACGGAATGAGTTTTGTTATGGAGATAAAGTTAAGCTCATGATTTTTGTTTTTGGGATAGGGACTCATTTGGACCCAATAATGGTGATGTGTGACACCACATTTAACAAACAAATTCAGTCTATTTGCTGAATATCTGTCAGTTACCACATTAAATATAATGCTGTGCTGTCTGATCAACATGATTCACCAGCCTAATTAAATAGCGCTTCTTTAAGACAGATTAGTCAATTACTAGTTGTTCAGACTACACACAGACAAGTTAATTTAAAAAATTTGCACATCCTGACATTGAATTTAATTTTCTGCTTGCTGTCTCATACCTCAGGGGATCAGAACTCTTATCACAGCTGCTTTGATATTGACCAGATCAATAGAAGTAATAACTCAGGCAATCATTTAAATGCCTGGTAACTTATGACTTACATTCAGCAATTAATGTTAGAAAACCAACATTAATTCAAATGAGTTGTGGCTGGTTGTGATAACATTCTATGTTGACATTTTCTTTGGTTGGGAATGATTGTATTGTGAATGCAGAAAGATGTGTTTCATTAACAGATTAAAGTCCTACAGCGAGTGAAATGCCAAGGTTATTCCACTGCATAATTCTGAGTGTTTTGACTTTTTAGCAATTCTCAATACACACACTTCTTGTACATAGGCTAATGCAGTAATTTAATTTATAAGCTGTCATCCTGAGACACAAAAACACACACACGCATCAATTGTGCTCGCACATTTATCGTCATCTTTTTTTCCAGTGTTTTTTTTTTAAATCAAAGTAAACCATCTGTCTATTTGACTTTAGGGTGAGGATTAGTGAGTGGCCAGGAAGCTCCGCACTCAACACAACCAGAGCAATTGAATAGATGTGTATAAGATGTGTGAGCATACATAAACTGTGCTCACACAATCAAACATAGTTTTATAAAACCAGGATGTAGGTGAAGGAAGGTGAAATGGATTGGCTTATTAGTTAGGCATGCATGCCAGACATCAGGGGGCACTGTTTTACATAAAACAAATAAAAGCTTAGAGCAGTGGATCCACTGATTCAAAGCAGAATCCTCACAAATGGATTGGCCACATATGTGTTCCACTAGTCGCATATGTTTTCAAAAGACTGGTTGGAAGTGAAAGTTGGAGTATGTGGGAGAGTTTTGGTATATCACATTCCTTTAGTTATAACTAAAGGAATTTATCTAGCAGTAAGTACAAGAGTGCATTAACTAGAAAGCCTGACGCTCTATTTCAAGAATCATTTCTGCACACAAACATTTGAGATTCTCATATACCTTAAATTTGGGCTGAGTGGCTATGCTAAGCTAAGTTTAATATTGAACCTTATCAATATTTTATTTCTGTGCACATAATCCTAATAATATAGTTCATTACATTTCCAAGAGTTCTATTACTGATGGAACTGATGATTGGTTTCTTTTGCACGTTTGCCACAGTTTCAGTTACAATTGTAATATGATATAGTCAAGTCACCTTTATTTATATAGCGCTTTTATCAAAACAGATTGTGTCAAAGCAACTGAACAGCATTAATTAGGAAAATAGTGTGTCAATAATGCAAAATGACAATAGTAAACACTCATTTTTCAGTTAAAGACAGTTCATCATTGAATTCAGTGATGTCATCATCCAGCTCAGTTCAGTTTAAATAATATCTTTGCAATCATGTCAACGATATCGCTGGAAATGAAGTGTCCCCAACTAAGCAAGCCAGAGGCAACAGCGGCAAGGAACCAAAACTCCATCGGCGACAGAATGGAGAAAAAACCTTGGGAGAAACCAGGCTCAGTCGGGGGGCCAGTTCTCCTCCTATAATATGATATAGTGATACATCACCATGTATTGAATCACAATGCGCCTATGTTTTAATATATTTTGAAATGTAATTTATTCCTGTGATGATAATGCTGAATTTTCAGCATCATTACTCCAGTCTTAAGTGTCACATAATCATTCTAATATGCTGATTTGCTGCTCAAGAAACATCTCTTATTACCATAACAGTTGAAAAGAGATTTGAAATAGAATTTTTTTAAACAATGTAAAAGTCTTTACAGTCACTTTTGATCAATTTAATGCATCCTTGCGGAATAAAAGTATTAAATTCTTACTGACCCGAAACTTACATATAAAATGTAATTCATAATAAAATAAGATTTTTTTTTTGCTGATTCACTATAAGCGTTTGTAATGGGTTTGAACGCTTCATAAGGCATAGTCGCTGTCAAATTTGTTGTTTCGCTTTGGAACATATATCTCTCAAACATGTTAGATGAATATAGCCACAAATAAAATAAAAAAACTTAGCTGTTAGCTGCCTCTTGCTCTCAGCTCAAGATTAGCCCATGTGGGTGTGAGTGTGGGTAACACTCACTCTAGTCATGACAGCATCAGCACATCCCCTGTCCCTGAAGAACATGTTTGGTTTTATCGAATGTCAAAGATCAGAGAAGAATAATCTTTGCCTTTTTTCTCTTCTCTTGCCTACTTTCTCACACCTTACCCTGGAGACGTGCCACCTGGCCCTGGAAGCCTGGCTCTTTTTTTTTTTTCTTGTGTAATTCATGCCAGCACAGACAGTCAGCTGAAAGCACTGGTGTAAACAGATGAAGCTTGTAGCTTGTATTCGTTCACATCCTGCCTGCTTTTCACGATGCTTAGAAGCAGCACGATCGGCTTCACGACTGGGATGTAAATGTATGGGGAAAAAAACTCAAAGGAGCTCCACTAATGTATAACACACAGAGAAAGAAGGACAGATGGAGGGATTCGAAAGGAAGTGGTGAGTGAGAGAGTGATTAAAGGAAAAGATCAGAGAGTGTGAATGACAGATGAAGAAGGATGCGTGTGTGAAAGACAGAAAAGGAGAAAGATGTGGAACAGAAGTGAGGCACAATAAGAGCAAGAGAGCGAGAAAAGCAGAAAGGACTGTAACACTATATGAAAATGAAGATCTGTATGTGTGAATGTGATATATATACACATACATCAGATGATCCCTAAGGGGGGGCTATTCCAGAACCTAGCAGCCTATTATTGAAGAGAAATTCCTGTTACAAACTCCTACCTCTTAAGACTATGCATGCAAACGCATTACCTCCCACACATGGACATCTGATAGACTGGTTTAAAGCATCTCAGATGCAACAACATATATATATATATATATATATATATATATATATATA